CCCTTTACCTCGCAGGAAGATTCCTGGTATTCATTCCTGTTTAATGGCTGAGACGACCCCAGGGCCATAGTGCGGCTGGAAGGATTAGGGCAATTGAAATATTCAGTGAACTCATCGGGAATCAAAACCACGACCTTCTGGCTTATGACATTGTGTCTCAACCAACTACGCTACCGCATGCCCTGCTCTTACTCAATAAAATTGGTTTCTGAACTAAGATTTAATTGAGTGCTAACCACTTGACAAACAAACAAGGAAACAAACAGTATACACAGCACAGCGGGCCAACAATTCATAACGGACAATATTAAGAATCTTCCTACTCAAGTTACATAAGCGGCACAACATCGACCACCTTGAAGAGAGACGACAGAGGTTATTGACACGAACCCTATGGTTTATGAATTTCAATTTTTAACAAAGTTTTTAAAACTTTAAAACAACTTTAAATATTTCTATAACCAGAAAGTTTGCTGTGACTGATAGATGGAACATTGTGTACTTGGACATTACATGTGTATTTGATTGACAACTGTTGTGATTGTGGTTTCAAAAAAGTGTTTGGTGCCTCTGAAGATGATCCAAATCGATCGAAACATGTAAGGCTAGTGAATCATCAAGTGAGAAAACTGAAATAGTCACACTGGACGGACTTGTTTTTTATAATTGAAACAATCCTGTTTCAGCAACGCTTTTGTCCCTTTGTTATAATGGACATTTAAACTTCATACAGTAAAATTTGAACTACAATTAGCTTAGAAGATCTAATTAATAGAATGCATTTATAGTACATTACTTTTGGACAGAAAATATAAAATATATATGAAAACACTATTAATAATGTTATATTTTAGAGTCCTGTTGCACTGATTTATGTCCATGATTTATTCTGACCGTCTCACAGTGCATATATTTATTCACCTCACTCTTCTCTCTTGCACTACATGTTTCGGCACTAAAGTGCCATCTTCAGGTGCTTTTCTATGTATGTCAAACTACTTCATTGCATGCCCTGTTGTCTTTATACTAAAATATATATTCGTTATATATAATGATAAATTTTAAATATTAAAACTGTTCAGGATTTGTCATCCTTATGTCATATCTCAATACGCGAGTCACACCTATCTTCTTCTATCGGAGTATTCTTCCAGTTTTCGTGTGTCTATTGTGCTTTGTGTTGTGTCTTGCTCCTGTGACTGTGTGTTAGTATTTAAAATTTATCAGTCAGCGTCAGTCGCTGGCCGTCAGCCTATGAGTGAGGACGTGTAGTGAGCACTTGTCGGATTCCAGTAAGGTGTAAAATAACGGAACAACATGAGCAGCAATATTGCAACAAATTTTGCCAAAACCTTGGCATTACCCAAGTGGAAACCATTCACAAGATTCAACAGGCTTTCGGGGATGATGCCATGAGCAACTCATGGATAAAGGAGTGGTACAACCGCTTCAAAGATGGCCACACATCAGTGGACAGCGAACCGCGTTCAGGCAGACCCTCAACAAGCCGAAATGAGAATGTCACTGAGCAGGTGTGGACTTTGGTCATGGAGGACCGTCGTATCACAGTCCGAGAACTTGCAAATGAGATAGTGGTAAGCACTGGATCGGTACATTCAATTTTAACCGAGGATTTGGGCATGAGGAGAGTGTCTGTAAAATTCGTACCGAAACTGTTAACAATGGAGCAGAAGCAACGCCGTCTGGAAATCGCACAGGACATGCTGGACAATGCAAACAGTAACTCCAACTTTCTGAACACTGTGATCACAGGCGATGAGTCGTGGGTTTATGGGTACAACCCGGAAACCAAGATGCAGTCGTCACAGTGGAAACATCCGACATCCCCAAGGCCAAAAAAAGCACGGCAGGTCCACAGCAATGTCAAGGTCATGTTGGCCGTTTTCTTCTACTCCCCTGGGGTTGTGCACTGTGAGTACGCACCACAAGGCCAAACCATCACAAAGGAATACTACCATTAGGTCCTTCTTCGCCTTCGTGATGCAGTGCGGTGCAAACGACCGGATCTGTGGGCAGCAAAAACTTGGCAGCTCCATCATGATAATGCACCTGCCCATTCTGTGCATCTGATTCAGTCTTTCGTCACCAAACACAACATCCCTGTGGTTCGTCAGGCTCCCTACTCCCCCAACATGGCTCCGTGTGACTTTTGGCTATTTCCCAAGCTGAAAATGTAACTGAAAGGAACCCGATTCGAGTCAAGAGAAGACATCATGCGGAATGCAATGGCCCAGCTGATCACCATTCCAAAAGATGCGTTCCAGAAGTGTGTGCATTACCAAGGGTTTTGTACCTCCAAATCAATAAATGTATTTCTGCCAACCAAAGGTTCGATACTTTTTTAATCTGTCAGACAACGGGTCCACAGTCTCTTCCAAAACAGTTCCTCCACTTAATGTGATCTAGAGCTTTCTCCTTCAAATAAAAATAGCCTCTTCTGTCCCCAAGGTCATCCAGCATCATCTTACATCTTCTTCGTCTTCTGGTCACTTCTATCCGCCCCTCTATCTTCGCATACATGGAATCTCTGTTTTTGGAAAGAAACTATCCAGGAAAAGTGATAATTTGGTAGTTTTTCCATTTGCTTTCCACATCGCAGTATAACAGCCGTTCAAACCACTCTGGTCATGCCTGTTGCTATACGAACTTGAACCATCTCAAGCATCATTTGCTCTGTGCTTCAAGTCGCTGCTGATGATGCTGCTTCCGGCATCAATTTTTGGTTTTTGGTGTCTCTCTTCGTCTGATGCCTACCCTTTGACCTGTCCAGCAAGGGAGGCCCTGCCAGTAGCTACCATACCGCTGGTATAGCTCTCAGGGTCCTTGGCATACTCAAACCTCCTCACCACGATAAGGTGGAGACACCAACAAGGGTGTAATGATCCTTCCGCAGGTTCACCTACGGAAACCTTGTTACAACTTTTACTTCCTCTAAATGATCAAGTTAACGCATCTTCCCGGTGGAATTGAAGGGGTGGACCCCCACGCCCACCGGTCTGAAGACTTCACTAAATCATTCAATCGGTAGTAGTGACGGGTAGTGTGTACAAAGAGCAGGGACGTAATCAATGCGAGCTTATGACTCGCGCTTACTGGGAATTCCTCGTTCATGGAGAACAATTGCAAGCCCAAATCTCTAGCATGAAGGAGGTTCAGCTGGTTACCCGGACCTTTAGGCCAGGGAGGACATGCTGATTCCTTCAGTGTAGCGCGCGTGCGGCCCAGAACATCTTAAGGGCATCACAGACCTGTTACTGTACAATTTCGTGTGGCTAGAAGCCACCTGTCCCTCTAAGAAGATTAAGAGCTGCCGGTAGCGCAGAGGATACCGGATGGGACTATTTAGCAGGCTAGAGTCTCGTTCGATATCAGAATTAACCAGACAAATCGCTCCACCAACTAAGAACGGCCATGCACCACCACCCACCGAATCAAGAAAGAGCTCTCAATCTGTCAATCCTTCCAGTGTCTGGGCCTGGTGATTTTTCCGGTGTTGAGTAAGGGAGAGTAAAAGATTCCTGGAATTTTTCTCTGTAAAATTAAAGTCACACCTGTTAATCAAAAATCCCCTTCAATGTAATCACCTTCTAGTTTAACAAAATGGTTTCAGTGGTCTTATCACTTGTTAAAGAGTGTCTGATACTCTGCTTTCAAAAATGTCTCACACTTATGTCAAACTCTGGATTATCTCTGCAGTTTTCAACAATTTCTTCCCTTTTGGGCACTTTTCAGCTTACAGAGAGGGGTCAGAGGAGAAGGAATTACTTGCTTAATCCTGGGAAGATGGGTGAGAATAATGAACAAGCCTTGCAATGTTGTGATGAAATATTTACAAACATGACTTCTATTCTTAAGGCTAGTTCCATCCAGTCCCATTTCTTACATATTCCAGAACATCCACACAAAACACCTGTTTCACTGACTGCCTGTTATTATGAATCATCACAAGTGAGCACCTGTTCCTCACAGTTAAATGGTTAAGGACAGGAAGCTGATAATCAAATATGATAGACATTTTGTCCTTTTTAAATTGAATAAACTCTTTCAAATATTCTAGTGTAGATGAGGCTCTTCTCCAAGCGCAGGTTTAAGCTTTTAATAGGTTTCTGTAGCCATTTTCCAAGGTTCATACAGAATTTTATGAATGTTGTTGCATAATGTCAGCAAGTTCACAATGTGATAGCTGCTACAGATATGTCTTCATAAAACAAGGTTTGCACACAAATCACACAAAACAATCATTTCTGTCTACCTGGAATGAAGTTGAAAACAGAACGGTCATTTAATATCTGTAGAGCATGCGTTATGTGCAATAAAACTAATCCCAGAATTTTATGATCCACCACTGTACATTGCACAATGTTTCCCGCATCAGTTGTACTCAAGATTATAAGAATCCCTGGATGAAATATTGTCTTTTGGAACATACAGCCTAAACATAATATTTATGCAAATACTCTACAAATGAGTGATATATAATCAAAATAATTAAGTAATTTTGATATTAGACATCTTGACCATTACACACACATGCCTTCTAAATATGAACCATATGGGCTAAAACAAGCAAAGACAGTAAAATAAATCACCTCATGCATATTACACTGGATGGTACTCTTAATAAGATCATCATAATTAAGCCATTAATAAAACATCAACCAATTCACCTTTCAGCATTTGTGTATGTAATTATAGCACCATTGCTACTTTACACACTTCAGAGATGTGAATATTCGAGATACATGACATTCATATTCAAACATCTACAAAGAATGTAAGACTGTAAATATCAAACATGAGGAAAATATTCTGAAAGACTCGTGCATTAGACAAGTAAACATACCTTCTACATATTTCTGTTCCGTTTACCAGTCATTTCATTTCATGCTATGAAATTATGCATATGTAATAAAGGAAAATTGTGTGTACACTCAAGCGTCAGTGGTATTAACACAGCTTGACAGAACCGGAAAACCCACCTGAAGGGCTCTCCTGGTGTGTCAGGATTGTGACAAGTTTCCAGGACCTTCCTCACACGAGCTTCCAATTCAAGTCCCCATCTGCATCGAACTGTGTAACCATGGAAATCTGTAACGTACATAAAGAAGGTAGAGTAGTCATTGTGCTTAATTAATTACGCACTATTCCAGGAAGACATTAGGAGGAGTGGAAGTATACCCCACCATTGTTAACCTTGGCACTTGTCGGAAGTGAGGGGTCAGCTTTACACCTCCTGCCACTTTACCCACGGGGCACAAGGCCCAGCACCCAGTGGGTAAGAGGCTGGGTGGGCCCTGGAATTGATCTGGATGTTATTGACAGGAGAACAAAGAACAATCGTGCCCATGCTGAGATTCAAACTCTGGCCATCTAATCCTACCTTCACTATAAAAGGAACCAACANGGGGGGGGGGGGGATAAACTGTATTATGTGTCATGCACACTGATTGTGCACAGTGCCTTGTTTCCATCTGCTTATAAAGGCACCTCTTAGCGCAGATATCTTTTGCTCCTAACCCCTTCCATACTAACATCATGTCTTGGGCACAGCCGGCTCTGAGACAGAGAGACCAGCTGCCAACTTATTATTCAGTTCTGGTTTAACTCATTTCTTTCAGTGGGCATTCAACCTATGCAGCATCTCACCCATGAACTGTACTCCTAAACAGGTAAACCCTTTTGGCTGCGGTCCCTTCGGTTAGGTACATTCCAGGTCCGTAAGATTATTTTGCTTATTTACACTGTTTACTCCATTTGTATGTATTATATTCTCTAACATATTGTTACTTCTAATAATACACTATTTTTTTAAAATCCTTCCATTTTGGATTGTTTGGACTGCAACATGTATTAACTCCCTGTCCTGCTGTCCACACCATTTGGTAAGCAGGACCATTACTCTAGTGAATACTGTATATCACCTGTGTAACGAAGCATTAACGGAAACTCCTGCCTGGATAAATGTGTTTCTGGTCATGTAAATATACTTAATTCTCACATTTTTACTGATAATTCCATGACATAATATATTTATTTGAACTTACGAAGTGCATGAAGTGAATGCACAATAGGGAGAGTGGTATCTATTTGTCTCTCTGACTCTTGACTCCTTTCCAAAATATATTTTCTCTGCATTTAATGTGGAAAGTAAAATTTGTCAGGTACAAAACATGAAAAACTTTCTTAAGTATGGTTCATTGCAGAAAAACATGGTAGATATGATGCAGGGCTCACTAAAGTGAGATAATTTTCTCCATCCCTAAGTAAGCACCATGCCGGTCACGGTAGCCGAGTGGTCTAAGGCATGGAAAAATAACTTATATCTTTGTTCAGTCTAGCAATAGTGGTACTGATTTGTAAGCCTGCTGGGATGTATTTGTATCTGTAATATAAATTAACATCAACACCAGTAAAGCATATACAACTGAAAAGAATACACTTGTAAATCTTTTGCAATAAAAACTGGATTACTCATTTACAGACATGTTAGGTGTCACAATTGTGGGTATGACTGACATACATATCGGATAGTGATACTTACGGCTCTGACTGACAACAGCTGCTGATTCCTCATCTAGATCCCTCCTACGAGCATTGTTTTCTTTCCCTTCACCTCCCATCTCTTGCGAGGACAATCGTCCTAACATCTTTGCCTTAAACCAGGCTCCTGCTCCTGCCTTGTTTCCAATTGCAGCAGCTAATAATGGACAATCATTATGCTCAGTCAGTTATCATAAACTCATAATATTGTGTTAATGTTAATTATTTATAAAATCTGACTCTAGGTTATGTGCAAACCATGAACATACTGAAGCTCTATTTGTCATATCACTTTGTAAAGACCTGATAACTTTCCTTTCCTAATTTATTTCATGAAATACAATAATGCAAACAATTTCACACTGAATCCAGCCTATCAACTGTGCACCATGGGCTCTTTCATAAGAGATATAGCGGAGCATACATGACCAGCCGCTCATATATGTCTAGTAGTGCGGTTAAGGGTGTATGGGTATCTTCATGTACACTAAGATAGGTCCAGTGACTGAGGCTAGCTCTTTCTAAGGGACCCAACAGAAAAGCTGTTTTGCCTCACCTGAGGACGGAAACAGATCCAGTTTCCGAAACGTCGTGTTTTTTCTAAATTATCTTAAAAACCAGGACGATGGATAAAGTCCGAAAACCCAATATCTCTGTGTGTTATGCACCATCATCAGAATCCTATAGTAACTAATTAATAAATACACATTTTAATTTATGTTCCTTCATATTATAATCTGAAAGTTGTGCATCAGTGATCAGTTCCACATTTCTTCATGAAAAAGTCTAACGTCTATATTTGGAAGCTGTATTGCCAAATATGGATTTCTGGAACAAATAAAGATATGAATATGAATTGGAAAACTGTACAAGTTATTGAATAAAGAAAAAGGTTTATGAAGTCACTTATGGGAAACCTCCCAGAGCCAAACTAAGCTGCCTATATTATTTCAAAATATACTTAGGATGAATTACTTGGTTGAATCAACTCGGTCAGCAGCCCTTGCCAGAATGGTTATTCACATTCTGTTACCCATACCAATACCAGTAATATACCAAAACATTTAGTCACAGAATTGTGTATTTTTACACTTATGGGGGTGAGACTAAGACCCTTGGTACTTAGGCCATAAGTGGCCCACTGGAAGATAGATGAGAGAAATAGAGCAGTTGGCACAATAACAATCAGCCAGGGGAACAGAAGTACCTTAAGAAAACCTGTCATTTTGTCTAGATGAAGTAGCCCAGGACCAAGCCTGGGCCACTGTGGTGAAAAGACAATGAGTAACTTCCTGAGCCATGACATGGCCCAGAACTGTGGCTATGTTCAGAAAACACTGGACTTAATTTCATTTCAGCAAATTATGAAGAGCGGTGTTAAGGAATTTACTTCAGACAAGTAATGAACTCTTTAATGGAGCTTCAGTTTCAGGATACATGATGTAAATCAGCATTATTCAAGCTATAAATTATGAGATTAATCATACAGCACAGTCACCAGTAAATAATTCACATTCAGAATCTTGAGATTTATTGTGTACAGCCTCATTCATAAAAGAAAGCATAATTATATAATTCAATAATTTAACCAACATGTACAGTTCATCAAGTAGACATTAATACCTTATTAAGCTCATTTCTTGGGCCGTGCCATAGCTCACACAGTTAGTTGCTGGCTTCCCACCGCGGCGGCCTGGGTTTGATCCGGGGTCTGGTCAAGTGCAATTTGTGGTGGACAAAGTGGCGCTGGGGCAGGTTTTCTCACAGTACTTCAGTTTCCTTTGTCAATCTTCATTCCACCAATTGCTCCACAATCACCCTCATCTATCATCTGGGGCTGGTGCAATAGGCCAGATGTGTCCACAGTACAAGAAACTTAGTCCCACCCCACTAGCATTAAAAAAAATAAAGCTCATTTCTTAAAAATATATATACAAGTATCAATTTAAAGTATTTTATACAATATACCATATAAACAGCATTAATTACAAATTGCTTAGTGGGGGGGGGGAGTCAAACTGGGTCCACTCGGCACGTTGGCCACTGACTGGCCTATTGTAGCATACCCCGGGTGATTATGATAATGAAGAATGGCAGGCAAAACCGAAGTACTTGGAGAAAACCCGCCTCAGCGCCACTTTGTCCACCACAAATCCCGCTTGACCAGACCCTGGCCGCTGTGGTGGGAAGCCAGCGACTAACCACTTGAGCTATGGCATGGCCCTATATAGAGCGCATTACAAATAGTTTAGTTCATCTTGTACTTAAAATATTCATCCAACGTATAAAATGATGGGAATACGTGAAAATTTTCATGGCCAATTTAAATTGTTTTGCATTATGGATAGATCTTTTATTGGAACAGGTAAGCTGATAAACACCTTAATCCCAGCATAATAAGTTCCCTTCTGAAAGACTGACAGATGAGACAATGGATGATGCTATTCAGATTTGGTCCTATTATTAATATTGTGTACCTCAGAATTTACTTTAAAATGGAGTCTGTTATTAATCACAAACTGTGAAACTGAATATACATGCACTGAGATTTTAGTGGTAGTACCAGGTGGTTCACATATGACCGAGATCGATTTAAAAAAAAAAACATAATTGCCAAACACTTACTTGCACATGTCAGTCTTCAACGTACTCCCCTCCGGAGTCAACACATTTTTTCCAACTTTCTGGAAGCATCCTGATGCCCCCCCCAAAAAAAGACTTGTGATTGGCGGTGTAACCACTCCCGAACAGTCTGGATGACAGCGTCATTGTCCACAAACAGCATGTCTTGCAAGTCTGATTTTAGCCTTCCGAACAGGTAGAAATCACTTGGTGCCAAATCGGGACTGTACAGCGGATGTGTCAGAAGGTTCCATTTCAATTTCCGGAGGGTTTCCATTGTTGTTTTGGATGTATGGGAGCGTGCATTGTCTTGAAGGAAGGCTTCCCGCCTTCCACCTCTCTTCCACTTGGATTGGATCTTTTCCTTCATGTCTGTTGCCAGGAGGTCTGAGTAATAAGCTGCATTGACTGTTCTGGCATCTGTCAGAAAGTCTACATGGATAACCCCCTGCCAGTCCCAGAAGAACGTTGGCATCACTTTTCCTGCCGAACGGCTCCTCCGCGCTCTCTTTGGTTTGGGAGAACTGGTACGCCGCCACTCGCTGATGATTGCAGGGACTCGGGAATGAAGTAGTACACCCACATTTCATCAGTAGTCACTACAGACTTCAAAAATGCATCACCTTCATCTTCAAACTGCTGTAGGAGACGACTGGCAACTTGCATGCACACCATTTTGTTCACGTCCGTCAAAGTGTGTGGTACCAACCGTGCATTCACCTTGCGACATTGCAGGTGAAATTTCACGATGTCTTCTACACTACCAACACTGATGGACAGCATTGCTCCAAGTTCTTTCATTGTGATGCGCCTATTCTCACGAATAAGTGTGTCTGCACGATCAACGTTTGGCTTGGCGACGGATGTTCGCGGCTGACGATCGTGCGGTTCATTCTCCACGTGCTCTCTGCCCTCTCTGAAGCACTTACACCACTCAAACACACGGGTCTGTTAGAGACACTCTTCCCCATACTGTTGTTGGAGTCTGGTGAATTTCAGCGGACTGGACGTTTTCTCCAACGAGGAATTTGATCACAATGCCTTGTTCCATGCTCCGCGGTACCTTCTGTATGCTCATCCCTCTAGCAACTACCAGACAGCACTGAACAGGTTCTAACCCTAACAGGAGAGAGGGTGGAGGTTGTGGCTACAATCTCTCAAGGTCACACAGCTGCTGCACAGTGCGGCCTGTTTACAAAAAATCAGTCCCAGTCATATTTGAACCACCTAGTATTTTCTGCATGGGTCTCTATCCCTAATCCCCATAATAATTTGAATAGCTCTTTTTTGTAGTCTAAAAATTATGTTGCTATAATGAGAATCTCCCCAAAATATTAGTCCATAAGTCATAATAGAGTGAAAATAGGAATAATATACCATCTTCGGTGACTCTTGGGACAAGAAAGACTTAATTGTTCTAACTGCATAACAAGCTGAACATAATTTGGGTATAACTATATCTATGTGAATCTTCCGAGAGAAAGTATTGTCCAATGTTAATCCAAGAAATTTTGTATTAGAAATATTAACTATTTTCTTGTCCCCATGCATTATATTTAAATCAAGTAAAGAACTAATCTTAGTTACAAATTGCATAAATTGAGTCTTATCAACATTTAATGACAACAGGTTAGTAGTAAACCATCTGTTTACATCTTGGAAAACTTTATTAACATTATTTTTAAATTTCATCAGGTTAAGGATAGTCTTATGGATATATCAGGGTTTTCAAATATTCGGTCTTGTCATGATCTTTAATAGGCACAACTTTCACAGTAGCTAACTTCAAAATTTTGGTCATGACTTTGAAAGACTCCAACAAGATTACATTCCTATGACAGCATATTTGGTCAAGGCACTATGCTACAAGCTGGAAGGTCACAGGTTCGATTCCAGATATGGTCAATGGCTTTTTCAACTGACTTAATCCTTCCAGGCACACTATGGCCATGGGGCTGCTGACACAGCCTCTAACAGAAATGGGTACCAGGAACCTTCCTGGTGGTAAAGGGCGGCCAGCATGTAAACGCTGACAACCTCACCACCATCTGTGTACTGACTGTCTAGAAAAATTGTGGGAGCCTCAATGTGTCACAGCCATATGGACCTCCATGGTTTGTTACAAGGATAACTTTACCTTTACATTATCACCTCCACAAAGGTTACAGAACAGAATCCAGCAAACTGGGAGTTGGCCACTGAAAGTCTTCAAGAGGGAAGAAACAAATGGCAGAGTCAAACATATGTAGCAAGGCTGTAGTTTTGAAGTATGTAACACAGAAGAGAAGAAGTGGATACAGGCTTACACACAAGAAAAGAGTATCAGTAAATAAAAAATGTCAAAGAAGATGAAATGTGAACCATCAAACAAAGATACAACCCAGCAGTCATTAGGTTCCACCTGAGTAAGTACATCTCTTTCAATCTAGTCTGTTCTCATCTAATTATGTTGCACATATAGACTATATAGTGGAAGAGCTGGCAAAAAGTTAGATGTCCCTGAGGATGATGAGAAATTTTTGCCCCTTCTCCCTTAGTTAAAACAGATCAATTTTCACAAGACGCTGTCAAAATTAATAATATGAAATTTCCAGACACTGTAAGAAAATTTTCCATTGGTGTTGTAATTGTCAGAAACAACTTTACTTACATTGTTGCATGACATGTTTACATTGCTGCCAGTTAATAGTGACCACTTGAACAGAAGATCAGCAGAAATAAATGTCTATTAAACAAAAAAAGATGTTAAAATAAAAACAAATTAAATAACTACTACAATTGGTACAGAGACATAAATAAGATAAATAATCTAAACTACAAAGCCTATTAATATTCCTTCCATAATTATTCCTAATATTCCTTCCATAATTATTCAATCATTTCATACTAATTTGATTCAAGTTAGCATCATGTAACATGACCACTAGATCAGATTAAATGAGAATTCAATTTCACAGTCCCTAAAATGTGGATCGTGTTTTATGGTGGTTCCTACAGTTAAACAGAAGTCAGGGTAGCTCTGTTGGTATAGCAAAGGGAAGTGGGCTGGATAGCTGGGGTTTGAACCCCAGAAGGGGCAAGATTTCTTTCTTCTCCACAATGTTCAGACTGGGTCTGGGGCCACCCAGCAACCTGTCAAATGAGTACAGGGGGTGACTTCCCCAGAGGTAAAGTGGCCAGGGCGAGAAACTCACCACTCACGTCCATCCACTGCAAAAGTCAAGAATGGTCAAGCTATACCTCCACTCCCCAACATGTCTTCATGGCATGGAGCAGAATTAATTAATTAAGCACAGGGACAACCTTAACCTTTTTTAACCTTCCTACAATTGAAGAGAAACAACATAAGCACCAACCACACTACAGGACCATGGTAGTCATCCTCTGAGTTATGGCACAATGTAGTTTTGTAAGCAGGTACTAATATATCAAAGGAACCTGCTGCCCTATCCTAACCTGACTATGGGGGTAGCGGGTTTCTCTGAAATGTTGGTAAACATGCAAGAAATTACATGGCATCATAGCCAAGAAAGCCACAATTTTAATTTTTACTTCCACAAGAATCTCAAATCTCTACATGGTTCTGTATGTGTCAGGTTTTTCTGAGTACTTCGGTGTCCCCTGCCAATCCTCATTCCATCAAATTCTCCATAAGCATTATCACCAGTACAGGTACAATAGGACATTGGGAAGCCGATGTGCCAAGGGGACCTAATATGGATTCCACCTCACACTATACGAAAGCTTAACTATTGTAATCTACTGTAATCTATTGTAAACAATTTTAAGTATTGTAACTTCATTCTCTTACTGTAATCTGCCAATGTACAGTAACTGACTTGTCCTATATCATCTAACAATGATCTAAAGAGACGAAATAAATGTAAAGGTTAAAGTGCAGTTATCCTTAGTCTTATTTAATTAAGCAACACACCATGGAATGAAGGTTAAGTTCCATCATTTTTGACCTCAGCACTAGATG